ATATTAAAATTTATAAATTTAATAAAACTAAAAATTAAAAATATTATAATATAAAATATGAGATTAAACCCTTTATGTTAAAAAGGTGAAAGGTTAATGATAAGCTTGCCTGAATGAGCTGGCACGAGTAAAAAATTTTTCATGAAATGACACATCGAGAATACCATTTGACTATGTCGCCAGCAATGGGAGCAGGTGCACATGAAACTTGCCTTTACCTTGGATTCCAACTAACTCAAATGATGGGAAACATGAGTGCCCTCAAGTCTTTCCCATGAATTGGAATTTTCACTATTGACAAAAGCAAACACATACATCTTGGCCCCAATTGTCATTATAATTTAGCATAATGTCTTGATTTTTTTCCTTCCATTGTTTCTCTTTCCTCATATATTTTTGTCTGCCTAGGATTCCTCTCTCTCTTGCCATTTATTAATGAGGAATGCTAAGAGCACTCGTCAAAGTGAAGAGCCATCTATAGATGTAAGCTTGACATTATGTTCAAAAAGTGTAAAACACTTTTATCATCATTGAGTTCAGTTTTAAAAACAAGATAAGATGCATACTTTACTTGAGAAAGTAGGTAGCCATCATTTGAAGAGGTAACTTCAACCCAAGGAAATAGCTCAAAACACCAAGATCTTTCATCTCAAAGTTCTGACTGAGAGATTGTTTTAGCTCCTCAACACCTGCGACATCATCTCTAGTAATAATCATGTCGTCAACATAAAAAAGTAAAAGAATTATACCCCGATCAGTCTTACGAATGAACAAAGCTGTATCATGTAGACTGGAAGTAAAACCAAACTCACTCACAGTAGCACTAAACTTGGCATACCAGACTCAAGGGGATTGTTTCAACCCGTATAATGCACGTCGCAATCGACATACCTTGTTTGGAGGACGGTTGAGCCCAAGAGGTAGTTTCATATAAACTTCTTCTTCTAGGTCACCATTAAGAAAAGCATTTGTCATATCCATTTGAAACAATTTCTATCTCCATATAGCAACAATAGCAAGCAAACTGTGCACATATGTGAGACAAGCAACTGGAGCAAATGTTTCCTTATAGTCTATTCCATACTCCTGTGTAAAACACTTGGCAACCAAGCGTGCCTTATAGCGCTCCACAGAACCATGAAATCTTGTTTTGATCTTGTACACCCATTTACAACCTATCAAAGACTCTTCAACAGGGAGATCAACTAAATCCCATGTACGAGTGTTCTCAAGAGCCTGTAATTCATCTTGCATAGTTTGTTGCCAAAGAGGGTTAGAAGAGGCCTCTTGATAAGATTGAGGCTCATGTAAAGAAGTAATAGCAGGAAAACAATGATGATCACGAAGGTGGCTGGGAGGGTTTCTTACTCGAGTAGGATGACTCAAGGATGGGACAACAAGCTTAGATGCAACATCAACAGGTGATACAGATAAGGAAGTAGAAAAAGGTTCAAAATTATCTAATGCATTACCAGCAGGCAGATCATTTTCTACAGAACTAGTTGGAGCATGTGGTGAGGCATTGTAGAGTTCATCAGATGTACCTACATTAGAATTACTAGGAAATAGCTTAATAGAAGGATTAGTAAAAAATGGAGGTTGATGAAAGGATGACACCTTGAAGTTTGACAATGATGAGAACATAGTGTGTTCCCAAAAACCAACATGACATGAAACTCGGAGTTTTTGTGACATAGGATCCCAACAACTATATCCTTTTTATGTAATCTCATAACCCAAAAAACAACATAATCGATCTCTAGGCTCTAACTTGTTATGTTCATGAGGTGGAAGAAGAACAAAAAATGCACAACCAAAAACCTTAAGAAGATTATAGGCAGGAAGAATACCATGTAAACGCTCATATGGAAACTGGTTATTAAGGACTGATGATGGAATGCGATTAATAATATAAACAGCTGTAAAAGCAGCTTCACCCCAAAATCGCTCTAGACAAGATGATGAAATGAGCAAAGCACGAATTGAATCAAGGATGTGTCTGTGTTTACGTTCAGCTCGCCCATTTTGTTCAGAAGTGTAAGGACAAGATTGTTGTGTCAGTATACCTTGTTCTTTTAGAAAAGACTGAAGTTTAGTACCAAGATATTCAGTAGCTTTGTCAGTTCTCAAAATTTTGATAATTTTAAAGAACTAAGTTTTGATCATAGTAGCAAAATCAATATAAATTTGTGATAATTCAAAGTGATTTTTCATAAAGTATATCCAGGTAAAACGAGTATGATCATCAATAAATAACACGAAGTACCTGGAACCACCTATGATGGGTGTAGGAGATGGACCCCAAACATTAGAATGCACGAGATCAAAAGAAGCAGTAGAATGAGAGTGACTACTCGAAAAAGATAAAGCTAGTTGCTTTGCAAATTGACATGACACACAATGCAAGAATTCATTTGGAACTGACCCTAATAAACCACGAGAGATAAGTGGATGAAATTTACCGATTGAGGTATGTCTGAGCCGTGAGTGTTACAAATGGAGAGGAGAAACATTAGTAGCAACACAAGCTTGCAAAATTTGTTGGTATGGAATTTGTAGAAACTCTAATTCAACAACACAAAGCAAGGTTTGGATGAATTGATCATTTGAAAATGATGGTGTATCCATTTTATTATCAGGAATATGCAGATAGTTAAGCTCAAACAAACGCCCCACCTTGTGACTAGTTCCAAGAAGTTGTCCTATTTGTGACTCCTACACACGACAACCATGAGCAGAAAATGTTACTTCAAGACCAAGATCACATAATTGACTAATAGATAGAAGATTATAACTAAGTTTTAGAGCTAAGAAGGCATTTGGTAAAGTCAATGACTTTATAAAAATATTGCCAATGTGACTAACATTCATAGGAGAACAATCAGTAGAATAAATATCTAGAAAGGAATTATTTGGTGATATTAAAGAGAAATGCACAGTAATTGAAGACATATGGTTACAACAACCATAATCAAAATATCAAGGTTTGGTACCTAGAGCAGTAGATAAGGCAGCAGGAGCATTAAAATGATTTCATATCACATGTTTTAGGGATTCAAGGTTGACATTAGATTGATCTATTACTTTTTTGACAACTATAGCAGTAGCAGGGTGAGTTATAGTCCTTTCAAAACTTGCCATAAAATCGATAAAACTCACAATACTGAAAAAAAATCTAAAAAATATGAAGAAATAGATGTCAAGATCAAAATAATAAACCAACAAAATACCTCAGAAAGGACCTGAGAATTGAAGATAAACAATCCAATCTGTTGAAGAAGAGATTCCAACGACAAAATTTCATATCTGAAATGGAATTTAAAATCTAACTCCAAAAAACCAAACAGCGATGATAAGAGAAAAAAACTAGGAGCTTATAGCTCTGATACTAACTTGGAAAAAAAAAAACTCTGATACTAAGTTGGAAAAAAAAAAAGAATGATAATTTGAAGAAATGTTTATTGTTTTTTTAAATAATATTATATATAATATGATCTATATATAAGTATTTATAAAAAAATAT